GGGGGGCGGGGGGGGGGGGGGGGGGGGGGGGGGGTGCCTGCCTCCCTGGACAACTGATCGCAATTGGGGACAGCGCGCCAAGAAAGAAAGAGTTCATGCGCCCCAGACATGTTTGGGCACCCTTTGATGGCGTCCTGTGCTGCAAAGCAGGAGAGTGAGCATCTCTGGAGCGCAGAGATATTGTCTGTCCATGTCAGAACAATGCATGCATTCCCGACTATTGCTGTCTAGCTTGGTATCGATAGCAGGTGCACCACCCACTGCGTCGCTGGCGAGCGTGTCTCGTTGAATGGCCAGTCACAGCGCCGCACAGTCTTGTTGAGGCGGCGGTCACCGCATGTCAAATGTTCCCAAGTGTGCCAGGAGCCTGCTGTCCTTGGCGCGGCAGTGTATCAGGAACCGCCCTTTCACGGCGGTGCCGGCACGCCCCACCCACCGGCATGCCTCGGCGGTAGTTGAGGCCGAGAAGGACCCTGCACCGTCCCCGATCCCACTATCACGCCTTGAGCATCGCCTGGAGGCTCTGGCAGAGGGCGTCGAGGCCCCAGAAACCCTTGCAGCCTCCGTTTTGGGTGGTGACCCAGATGGTCGCAGCGGTGAGAATGGCGCCCCCCCCTCAAAAATCCCTGACCAGCATGGGCTCCCCTGGAACTCGGCAGCCTCTGGGGAGGAGGGAAGCAACGGTAACGCGGTCACCCCAGTTCTGGACCCCGACACCCCTCCTAAACCCTGGGAGGATCCGGAGCGGCGCCCGGGCTTCAGCAGGAGGGGTCGGGGGAAGACCCGCACCATATCCCTGGATGATCTGGTAGACCTGCGAGCCGCCGTCTCCCTGGCCCCCATAGCGCTGCAGGACGGGGAGCACGACTTGCAGGACAGTGCCATCAACAGCCACGTCTGGAAGGTCCTGCTGAGGCTCAGGCTCGCGGGTGAGGCTGGCGTGTCCCAGGCCGGCACGGCCAAACCCTGTGCACGACGGGCACCAGGTGCCTGGACCTTCACAGAGGGCCCATGTCCTGCTGCACCCATCTGTAGCGATGAAGGTTGACCAAGTTACCGATCTCTTTCCCCTACTCGGCAGGTCATGACACATACTTGGTCGGGGGTGCCATTCGTGACGTGCTGCTGGGAGGCACGCCCAAGGACACCGACATCCTGACCACTGCCACGACAAAGGAGGTATGCGTGTTGGGGGGGTTGTTGGCTGGCCTGAGTTGGGGCTGGCATGGGAGAGCGTTGAAACGCTTCCCCCCCCCCCTCATGGAAGCACTACCCCTGGAGAGGAAGACATCATTCACTCCCATGCCAACCATCCAAACCTCTCCTGATCACTTTCTCGACCCTCCTGCACCACTTGCTCAGCAACTGCTGCGCCGCCACCACGTTTTTTCTCCATGACCTCCCTCCCCACGATCCACGCCCCTCGCTCGCCACGAACAGGTGCGGAGGCTGTTCAAGCGCGCCATGATCGTGGGCCGCGCCTTCCCCATCTGCCACGTTCCGACGGGACCCCTGACCCTGGAGGTGTCCTCCTTCGGCACCACCACCGCGGGGGTGGGCCTGCCGCCGGACGCCGCCGCGAGGGCTGCGGCGCTCGGCGCCGGTGGGGCCCTGACCCACGACGCCGTGGCGGCGGCGGAGCGGCGCCGCGCGCACCGCCTCCTGAGGGACGGCGGGCCGGGGGAGGGGGCCCAGGATCCGGCCCCCGACAACTTCCTGCTCCCCCAGCCGTCGTGGTCGCAGGCGCGGCGGGATAACGCCATCCAGCGCGACTTCACCGTCAATGGGCTGCTGTACGAGCCATTCAGGTGTGAGGGCAGGGTGGGTGGTTGGTAGGAGACTGCTCAGGTTGAAGGTATTCCTCCTGCTGGTGATGATGGTGATGCTCTCCTGCTGGTAATGCTTTCCCGCAAGCGACCTGGCCGGTCGGCGTGGGTTGGGCACTGGGAGTACCAGGCTCTGCCGTCCACCCAATGCCTAGTCAGCCCTCCCCATGAAGCCTCGTCAGCCCCCTCCCCCCCTGTCAAAACGCCCCGCAGCCGCACGCTGTACGACTATGTGGGGGGCCTACAGGACTGCAGGAACCGGGTGCTGCGCACCATCGGCCCCGCCGCGCCGTCCTTCCAGACGGACCCCGCGCGCATGCTGCGCGCGCTGCGCCTCGCGGCCCGAGCCGGGCTTGCGCTGGAGGCCGGCACGCGCCGCGCTCTCGTCCAGGGCGTGCACCAGATGGCCGGCCTGAACTTGGTGGGGCGCGCGGGCTGGGGGGCGGACGAGCGCCTGTGCCACTCCCCGCCGCTGGGACCGAGGAGGCGGGGCCGCCTCGGTGCGACGTGCGCACGACCAGGTGGCCGCGCTCTGCATCTCACATCCCACCACACTGTGTGGCCGACACCCCCGCTCCATTTAAAACCTGCGCAGGCCCGGGTGCAGATGGAGATCCACGCCATGCTGGCCTACGGCTCGGCCGCCAGCTCACTGGACCTCATGTGGCGCTACCACGCCATGGACGTGGTGCTGCCCCAGGTCGCGGCGCACCTGGCGGTGGGCTGGGGGGGGTGGGGTTATGGAGGGGGAAGAGTGCTTGGAAGGAGGAACAGGAGCTTGCACTGAGGAGTGCTCGGGTCTTGGATGCGTGCGCTGCCACGAGGAGAGGGACGTGGGCGGATGGAGGCCACCACTGCAGTTTTGTGGGCGCGGGCTGGTGGGCTAATGGGCTGGCAGGCTGGGGTGTGCAAGCAACGCTCTGCCGGCCCCGGCGTGGTCTTGCCCCTTGCTCCCCACACTCCTCTTGCAGCTCACTTCCAGCCTGAACACCCGTACGACCCACCCCACCCCAGGCTTGCGGCGCGCCGCGGGACCGGCGGCGCAGCAAGCGCCCCTCCCCTCTCCTCTTCCGAATGGCCGAGGTCCTGGACCGGCATGCGTCCCCCCTCCGGCCGCTGTCGGTGGTGGCGTGGACCGCGACACTCATGGCTGGGCTGATGGCGCCGGGCCTGCGCCGGCTGCACGACCCGGAGGCCTCATCCTCACAGAACCCCGGCGAAGAAGCCGCCGTGCCGCGGAGGAGCAGGCGCTCGGCCAGCTGGCGCGCGCGGCGCGCCGCGCGGCGGCGGCCCGGCGGCGACGAGGCGGGGCCCAGCGGCGGGCTGCGCCACGCCGACTTCTTGCATGAGCTGCGCTCCGCGCGCGCCTGCCTGGGCGAGGCGGCCCGGGCCACCGCCCCCCCGGCCACACCTGTGGTGGCGGGGTCACCCTGCCCTCGCATGGCCCTGGACTCGGCCGAGGCAGTGCTGCTGCGGTGCTGGGACGAGCTGTCTTGGGGGGCGGGGGAGAGGCGCAGGGGGAAGCGTGGCGCCGAGGACCTGGATGCGGTGGCGCGACAGGTTGTGGACGTGCTGCGGGACCCGGAGGCTGGCTGGCTGGAGGCGTGCGGCATGGACAGGCAGGGGGTTGAGCAGCCTGACGAGGCAGGGGATGGCCGGCGGGACGCCGCCAAGACTGGTCACGGCCCGGGCGACGAGGTGTCGGGGGGCATGGATGCACCCCCACCTTCCCTGTAACTATCACGCTGACCACCTGCCCCGGAAAGAAGTCAACGAGGGGGGTACCAGCAGCTGTCGTTGGATGCTTTTCGAACCCCCGAGTGCTGTGCGTGTCCTGCTGGGAAAGACCTCTGGACTTCCACGATCCGTGAAGAAGCTCCTTGACGTCCCAATGTCCAGCCTGCCAATCCCCATACCATTCATTGATAGATACACTTCAATGTGGGGCGGGGACTGGGCAGCCACGGCCTGCAGCCCGGATGCCGCTTGCGAGTTGGACGGCATGGAGGCCAGCTGCGAGGAGGTGCTGCGACGCTGTAGTGGCCGAGAGGATACCCTGTCACACTCACAGGAGGATCTGCGCGTCATGGGAAGCCTGGTGCTCCGGCATGCGCTGGGATGGTGTGGTAACGGACCCTGCCTCCATCACTCCCTGCGCTCCCGAGTCTTGGAGGGGAATGCCTCCGGGCCCAGGTGCGCGGCGTGCCGATGCATGCAATGTCTTCGAGAGGTGCTTGGAAGGGCGACTTCGCTGGGGAGTGCCTTTCCTGGGAAGCTGCCCTCGGTGTTGAGGCTGAAGGCCTCACACTCCAGTCCTGCCCCCACACAGGAAGTACCTCTTCGACATGGTCATGTTTTCCCTCTTGGAGCAGCACCTTTTGGAAAGACACGGACAGGGCAACTGGGCGGTTTACACGGTGCGTCATTGTGCTGGGGCTCTGGAGCGCCAACAGCTTTGCGGGGGTTGCACTGATGAAGCACTGCACTGAGAAGCTGGTCTTGCAAATGCACCTCCTGGTCGTTGCGGGGGCTCTGTGGAGGTGATCTGCTGGCCACAGTACCCAGCCATCTAGGTCTCTCCACCCCAGCCACACCCTTCATACCATGTGGCAGATACCGGAGGCCTCCCTGGCGCGCGCGGAATGCATCGCCTACTCTGACTTCCAGGGCGATGCTGTGCTGTTGAAGAGCGCCACTGCTGGCAGCGCCCCAGCCCATCCAGGCGCAGCCATCTCGAGCTGCGGCCGGAGGCTGGCTGGAAGGGGGGCCCACGCATTTGGGATCAGGAGCTTGTCCCCCCTTGGCGCCTCCGCCCGCGTGAAGGGTGAGTCAAGACAGGGAGCCTGCCTATTCACTGCAGCCGGCAAAGGTGGCTGTCCCAGACTATGTGTCCTGAAACAGGTACTCGCAGTTGACAATGCCCCATGCACTGCTCGCTCGCCCCACGTCTGCAGCAGGCATCGAGAAGCGGCATCGCTCCAAGCGGGGGCTGGCCTGCGACGTCCCCGGCGTGGGCACGCTACAGAAGAAGCTGCGGTATGAGCATGACCCCTCTGGGGGCGGGCTGTCCCCCATGCACATGTAACTCTAGCTCCACCCCGGCGACTGCGAGCAAGGCATCGCCTACGCCCTTCTGTGTCCTTCTCGTCCATCTGCAAGTGTCCTGCTGATGGCCCCAGTGCCCAGCGGTCGTCGAGTCACGACCTGTTTGCACTGCTGTCCACACCCCAATCTCATGTGGATGCCTGTCACATGCTCGCACATCTGCTGAGGCATGCACCCCCGCACTTCCCTCCTCATGCGCAGTCGATGAATGCGCCTGTCTCCAAATCCTGTCTCCCTTCCGGCGCCCTGGCCTCGCTGCACTCAGGCCCTGCCCGCCAGACCCTGCCTTGTAAACTCGTATGCAGCGATGGCGCCCGACACGTGCACGTTTAGGGATCGGATGAGGCCCAGCTGCGGGATCTCCACCGTGGCCTGCAGCCGGGCCAGCAGGTGCGCTGGGATGCCCTCCTTCTCGCGTCCCAGCACCAGCACCGTCTTCTCCGGCCACACAAAGTCCTGCCAAGGGACAAGGAGGTGGGGAGGCAAGGCGGGTTGAGGGAATGGCACAACCAATGCTCAGGCTCCCAGGCAGCGCCTTTCACTGCACCTACCCACACCCTTGAGCCAAAGACACCTTTGTGCTGACGGAGTCTGGGGTTTGCTCCAGACCCACTAAGGTCCAACCCTGCGCCGCCTTTTCCTGCAACCACGGCGCGAGCTCCACTTCTGCGTCGTGTGTGGCGCGAGGAATGACTACCCAGGTTGTCACAGATTGTCTGGCCGTGTCTTGCTGATCTGTGCTTCTGGCTTAGGCAGAGACTCCTCAAACGTCCTGGATCTCTGAGGATACCCACCTCCACGTTTGAGCACGTCGTACTCCACATGCATGAACACGATCAGCACCCAGCCCACCTGGCACCTCCTGGATGGGCATCCAAAGGTTTGCGGAGACACTGATGGACTGGAACTGCGGCTCGCTCACGATGCTGGCATCTGCCACCACGAGTGCCGTCGCCCTGCGGAGGTGGCAAGCGTGGACCTGGCTTGGCGAGTAGGCGGGGAGGCTTCCCAACCTCGTGAAAGGAACATCAAGCCTCTGCACATGAGCTTGCGCTCGGCCAGGGTCTGCGCACACTGTGATCTTCTGACCACCCCTCGAGTGTCCAGGGGCTCCGTTCCATATACAAATCGCCCCACCACACCCATGCCCCCCCCCACCTGAACACCTCGCAGGTGCGAGCCAGGCCGGCCAGGTTGGGCAGCTTGTCCACCAGGCTGGCCACCACGATGAGTCGCTGGCGCGGTGCAGCGCCCGCCCTGCCCGCCTCGCGCAGCGCTGGCGCCAGCTCATTGGCCTCGAAGTCGTCCAGGGATCCCTGTGCCAGGGGCGCGAAGCCCAGGGTGGCAGCCCAGGGGTCCTCCACCACTACGGACTGGCCGGCGGGGGTGATCTTGCGCTGGGCAGCAGACCGGGAGGGGGCTGGTGGGGGCTGGCTGGGCTGGATGCACGGCCTGCCGGCACTGGCTCTGGAGTACTCTTCATGCACCGAGGCCTCCTGCCATGAGCATTTTGGATGGAGGGTGGGGTTCTGGCACTGCTGATTTGGGCATCCCGCCAGTGCCACACCCGCCAATCACGCACGCATCCCCACCCCTGCTCCTCCATGAAGCATGCACTTTTGGAACAGCTGCCTACCAGCCGATCCTTCATGTCGATCCGCAGCTTGAGCCGCTCGGCCACGAGGAAGCCAGCAATCGCGTCCACCAGGGGTTCCAGAGCCCCCTCGAAGGTGGAAAGCTCATCGGAGCGCCCGGCCAGGGCTACTCCCTGTGAGGGGACAGAGAGTGTTCAAGGGAGTTTGGGATGCGTTGGAAGGAGTCTGGCTTGGTTGCTGGACAATTTCTACTCGATGCCAGCCCCCAACATGATCCAGCGTGCCACAGCCTGTCTCTCGACGAAGAACCACTTCAAATGTTACACAACCCAAACCAACTCATCACCCTCCCCCGCAGTCCGAGCCCCTGGGCAAGAAATCCCACCGAACCTCCGCTCTCTGACCCACTCATAGATCACCTTGTACAGGACACCGGCCGGACAGGTTGCCCTCTCAGGGTCGAATGAATCCAGGTCCTGCCCCAGGCCGAGGGCGGTCCTCAGCCGCTGCACGTCGGTGTTGGAGGAAAAGAAGCCGAGCATGGTGACGAGGGCAGGGTCGCCGTTTACCACCTGGGGAAAGGTCTCCAGCAGCCGCCAGAGGGCGAGCTGGGCAAAGGTCCGCACGGGGTGAACGTGGCTCAGTGCCCAGGGCACAATGGCGGGGACCACCTCCCGGGCCAGAGCCGTTGCTTGGGGTGCAGCCCCTGCGCTGCTATGCCCTAGGCTTGGTCCAGGCGGTGCAGCTGCTGCTAAACCAGGGCCAGGCTCAGCACTTTCCCTCAAGGGCCGGGCTTCCAGGAGCAGGAACTGGCTGGCGATGAGGATGAGGGAGGGCAGGTCGTCCCGCTTGCTGGTGCGGCAGTCACACAGCAAAGAAAGCACCCTCGCGCGCAGTGCGGTGGGGGCATCGGGCGTGGCCCGCAGCAGTACCACTGCCACCACCTCCTGGTACTGCTTCACTGTGGATGCTTTGGTCACCGTCAGCGCCGACATGACCTGGTCCAGTGCCTCCTCGAGCAGCGCCGGGTCCCCACTTTGCGCCACGATGAGGGGGCAGAGCACAGCCAGGGCCTGCCACAGCCGCACCTGGTGTATGGTTTGGGAGGGGGGGTGGGGTTGGTTTTGCTCATGACATGGGAGATTGAAGCCAGCAATGCATGAATGCGACAGGATTGATACAAGACCCCAGCCAAGCAATGGAGACCCCCGGTGTGAGATTCAGCCTGGCAGAGCTCCCTCCCTGTCCTCATGCCAATGTGCCCTCAACATGACCCCAAACTCCATCCCCCCACCAGCACTCGCCTTTCGCCGGTGCGTCGTCCCCTTGAATTGGTACTTGGGCGAGGACAGCTCCGGGTCGTGGAGCGCCAGGTGGAGGAGCTGCGCCCAGGCCGCATGCCCCGCGCGGCGGGAGTCCGCCGCCAGCTTATCCTCCCCCAATTGCTGCGCCTGCTGCACCCAGGCGTGGAGCAGGCACAGCGTGGCCACGCGCGGCGCGAGCTCCGTGGCGGCATGTGCTTCGGCCAGCGTGCCATCTGGCGGCGCCCGCACCGCCGCCAGGTCCAGCAGGGTCTCTGGGTCGACCACGGCGTCGTCGGCGCCATTGAGCGCCGTGGCGTCGTCCGCGAAGCCATACAGGCACAGCTCGCGCAGCGTGTCGGTGTAGTGGGCAGCTGAGGCTGGGTGCAGGGACCAGCAGCCCGCGAGCTGGAGGGCCGTGAGGCTGGCCATCCGGCAGGAGCGGCGCCCCGCTGCCAGCAGTTGTGTGATCAAGTGGTGGACTGGGCCGGTGGCGGGGTCGTGCAAGCATGCCACCCTGCGGAAGGGGTTGGGTGGAAGGGGATGGGGGAGGGCTGGAGAATAAGTATGCACCTGTGTGCACTGGCTATGCAGACAAAGGTAGCGTCGTGATGAGTCAGTCCCCACGGCTCCCGCCAGGCAGACCCAGGCCGGCAGCTTCGGCTCAAACCCCCCCCTTCCCAGTGGGATCCTGGACAGGCCGGGCCGGGCCGCAGTGTGATGCAGCGCACAGCCAATGGTCCCTCATCTGCGTCTCGCAAGGGGCCCATCGAATCCCGCAACCAGGCCTCACCCGGGGTACCGGCCAACGTCAAAGAGGTCTGGGTGGAGGCAGGTGGACACCAGCGCCGCCGTCAGTCCCGTCTTCCTCCGCGAGCTCCGGCGCAGCGCCTTGAAGCCGCCCTGGGCTAGGGCCGACACCAAGGGCAGCAGGTGGCAGGCACCCTCGGACTCCGGGCACAAGGGCGCTGCCTTGCCAGCCAGCGCCAGCGGCAGCAATGCCCTGGCTATGCGCAGCAGAGGCAGGACTTGGGGGTCTGGCGCCGCCGCCAGCCCGGCTGCGGCCTCAGCGAGGGTGTGAGTGAGCAAGTCTGGGGGTGCCCAGGCCGCCGCGCTCCGGTCTGCCTGTCCGGAGGACGACAGCATGGCGTCCGCGGCGCGCCATGCGCTGAGCACGCTGCGCTGGGAGGTGGAAAGGGGTGCAGCGCGTGCCCTCCAGCCGTCGGGGTCCCGGCCGGGGGCGGACTCGGGGAGGGACACCTGGGTTACCCGCATCAGGGCCTCCAGGCAGGCGGAGGAGGGGGGAAGGACGACGCTCAACGTGACCAGCGCGAGCAGGGCATCCAGCGTGCTCGCTTGCGCAATGCCCATCTCCGCGTCAGCTTGAGTATCACCGAGCGACTTCATCAGGTCGTGGCGCGTGCGCAGCAGCAGCTGCAGGCAGGCGGTGCGGTCGGCCGGCGCCTCCACTTCGGGGAGGAGCTGCAGCGCCGGCATGGTGCACTGCAGCCGTGCGAGCCAGCCGCTGGCATCTTTCTTGCTTTCCTCCCCCTGACAGAGCAGCACACCAGCATCCAGGGGCTCCTGCACCGCCAAAGTCAGGCAGCGGCGGGCGGCCTGCCGGGCCCAGGCATGTAGACTCCGGGGACTCTCGCCGCCTGGGTCGGGTGGGCAGGCCTGGCGAGCACATGGTTGGAGAAGGGGCACAGGGTTGGGTGAGGTGTAAACAGCCATTGCAGGGCACGCCAGGAGGAAACGCAGCACGAGCGTTGCGCGGGGTGGTGTGGCCCATGCCTGGCACCCAGCCCACGCCGGCAATGGAACCCCGTTCTCAACTCGTGACCAGCGCGAGCAGGGCATCCAGCGTGCTCGCTTGCGCAATGCCCATCTCCGCGTCAGCTTGAGTATCACCGAGCGACTTCATCAGGTCGTGGCGCGTGCGCAGCAGCAGCTGCAGGCAGGCGGTGCGGTCGGCCGGCGCCTCCACTTCGGGGAGGAGCTGCAGCGCCGGCATGGTGCACTGCAGCCGTGCGAGCCAGCCGCTGGCATCTTTCTTGCTTTCCTCCCCCTGACAGAGCAGCACACCAGCATCCAGGGGCTCCTGCACCGCCAAAGTCAGGCAGCGGCGGGCGGCCTGCCGGGCCCAGGCATGTAGACTCCGGGGACTCTCGCCGCCTGGGTCGGGTGGGCAGGCCTGGCGAGCACATGGTTGGAGAAGGGGCACAGGGTTGGGTGAGGTGTAAACAGCCATTGCAGGGCACGCCAGGAGGAAACGCAGCACGAGCGTTGCGCGGGGTAGTGTGGCCCATGCCTGGCACCCAGCCCACGCCGGCAATGGAACCCCGTTCTCAACTCAATCAGTCTGAGTCAGAGACTCATCTCCATGTCACTCAAACCCCTCCTGTGCAGGAGCAGCAGCTCACCTGAAAGGTAGCGGCCAGCAGCTGCCACATTCGAGAGCCTGAGACACTGGGAGGGGCCCCAGCAGAGGCCAGGGCTGCATCCAATGGCTCAAGGGCCATGCCGGCGTCAGGCACCAGCAGCGCCAGGGTGGCCAGGATCCTGGCCTCGGCCGCCAGGTCCTTGCCGGCCGTGGAACTCCAGGCCGCGCCGGCCAGCCACGCATTCGCCAGCTCGGCGACGCGGCGGCTGGGAGGCACGGCCTGGCCGTGCCTACCCCTCAGCAGGGCGGCGGCGGGGACGGCCAGCCGCTCCCCGGGCCAGAAGAGCTGGGCCGGCGCGGCGCCCAGCCAGCGGCCCGCGGCCAGCACCGCCTCGCCGGAGCGCAGCGCGCACAGCGCGCCGGCGGCGCCCAGCATGGCCACCCAGGTGTCCAACGCAAAGCGGCCGGTGCCCTGGCCACGCAGAGCGTGCGCCACGTCAGCGCAGGTGCCCAGCAGCTCCACCTTGTCCATGTCTGATTGCAGCGTGGTGGCCTCCAACGTGTTGGCACACGCCGCGAGGTCCTCTCCCGTATTGCTCTCTGAAGAATAATCCCCGCCCTGGCGGTGCTGTTGCTGGTCGGCTGAGACTCCTCGCTGCTGCATACCCCGGACCGCAGCCAGGGCCATGGCGGCGGCGGCGGCCACCGCCGAGCGGGGCAGGTCCGTATTCGCCACGTCGCGGAGGGAGGCATGCACGAATCGCGCCACGGCGCCGCGCCCGGCGGCCTGGCCCCACGCCTCGGCCCACGCCGCGCTTCCCTCCCTGACGCGACCCGCATCCCGCCCCTTGGCCATGTGCGGGGCCCCGACGGCGGGGACCAGCACGCCGGCGGCCCAGGCAGCGGGCACGGAGCAGAGGGAGGGCGGGTCCCAGGCGCGGGCAAAGAAGGAAAGCACGGCCTGCCGCCCCGCAGACTGGTTGGGCTGGGCGAAGCCGCGCCCCCACAGCACCGCCATCCAGTCAAAGGGGAGGAGGCAGGGTGGGGTGGCGGGGGAGGGCTCGGGACCTGACCTGGGGCGATGCAGTGCGTCCACACTCCCCCAGCCCTCCTGGTGAGGGGGTTGGGTGCGGAGGGTATTGGGGATGAGACAGTGAGTGGATCCGACACAAGAGGATGGCATTGAATCGAGCATGGGGAGGGAGGGCGTAGAATCCCTTCACAAAAGCCGAGTCCAGATGGCCGATGGTGAGGAGCGGTCCTGCTGCAGGCATGTGTACATCCCTGGTTGCTCAAGCGGCACGCCTCACCTGGAAGAGGTGCAGGGAGTACTCCTCTGACACTCCTAGGAGCTTTGAAAACACATTCCACTCCTGCTGACTCATTCCCAGCTCACAGGGTCCAAGCTCTGTGAGGATGTGCAGGGCCCGCTTCCTGTTGACAGGCTCAGGGTCACACTGACAACGGAGGGGGAGGGGAAATGGTGAGCCTTGCTGGTATTCTCTCCTATGGATGTGCAGAAGAGTTTTCTCTTCCCTGATTTCATGACAAGGTCTCTCAGCCAACCACACTATACTATGGTTACCCTCTCGAGCCAACAAGCATGGTCCCACCCCAACATCCGACCCAGCTCCATGCACCAAGCAGTCTCGGATGGCGACCACCAAGAGGCTCAGCTCAGCCAGGCCCTCTGTCTGCTCTGTGCCGGACCGCTCTAGACTGGGCTGTACGTCACGGGCAAACTGGACCAGCAAGGCCAGGGCCATCTGTCGGTCCCATGCTTGCTGGCCCTTCAGGAGGTGCCTGTGCCAAAGAGGCAAACGCAGCTCTTGCTGCTGCAATGAATCCTTGAAATACATGTGCACAGTGCCCCTCCCTGGCTCCACGGAGAATATGCCAGCAAGTTTCTTGCAATCCTTTTCACACTTCCACCCACAACCAAACGTCCCAAAGTTGCCCTGGCCCTCTTGTCACCTGCACGCTGACTCGAGCCATGCCGCTGTGCGCCGTGCCTGGCCGGACTGTAGCAGGGCTGGGAACAGTGCCTGGGCCAGGGCCCGGCAGGCGGCAGTGTCACGCTGACTCAGCACAGCCTCTGCGATGGCAAGTGCTGGCCCTGCCTCACGGTCACCGATGCCGGCAGAGCCCGACTGGAGCAGAGACCCTGCCAGCCGTATCCTCAGGGGAAGGCAGATGCTCGCCACCTCGTGTGAGCCTTGGAGGATGCATGTGAGCAGACTCCCAGCTGTGGTGGGGTCCAGACTTCCTGCCGCCGCCTGGCACAGCGCAAGCTGCTGGGACTCATCCCAAGGTGAGGACCCGCCGCCCAGGATGCGCATCCAGGCGGTGCGCATGCACCCTTCTGGTTGTCTCACGGTGGTCAAGGCTGCGGCACATGTCCACAGGAACGAAGAGCTGGGATGGGGCTCCTGCAGGATGATTCGAGCTAGCCCTCTGGCACCAGGCAGCGTCCGCAGTGAGCATGCTGCCCATTGAGCCAATTCTATGAATGAGGATCCGTGGCCCATTTTTTCGAGCTCATTGATCGTTGTTTTAAGGTCAGCGTCAAGTTCTGATTCGTCGTCAAGTCCTGCTGGGGTCGCCATGGCGTGACGATATCGGACGCCAAACTCCTTTGTCGTACTGAACAGCATATATATCTTGATTTCTCAGCTTACACTCGAGTTCCACGCAGCATCAGGTTTCAGATGGTGCCACTGGCATCACTGCAGTATTCCTGAGCGCGCGCGCGAGGGTAAACATCATGTGACCCATGGTGGGGGGAGGTAGCCATGATGCCATGGCTTCTCTCGGTGAGCTGCTGCTGCGTGGAAGTTGGAAGTTACCGACCGTAATACTACTGAGCCTTACATTACATCAGCAGAGTTCGCTTCCGGTTTCCGACTAATCACCAACTCCGCAGCGAGCGGTCCCTTTGACCCACGTCCAACACAAGCAGGGATGGTCTTCAGGCTCCTCTTGAAGCTCTTCCCCACTCCGGGGAAGATCATCGCCCTCGCAACGTGAGCGAGATGAATTTGTATCGGGTTCGTCATTCGGTTCCTGATCAGCCGATTGCCCACCAGCGGAGTCCCGCCCTCGCACCCGCTTCCTTTTCTGTGTGAGTTGGTGCTCCAACCCTTTCCATACTTTGAAGCCACCTCCCATTTTCCCCTCTGCCCCGACGCAGCTTCATCATTGGCATGGTATACCCCACCTACAATTCCTTCCTGGCCATCGAGTCCCCCAATGATGCTGACGACAAGCAGTGGCTGACATACTGGGTGGTGGTCTGCACCCTGCAGCTGATTGAGAGGCCCCTCTATGTCGTTCTCTACTGGGTGCCGCTGTACAATATCTTCAGGCTGGTGCTCGTCGCATGGCTGTCCCACCCACAGTTCAAGGTGAGCACTGAAGAGCGGCCTGCTGGTCAAGTCCATCATCATTGTTGCAGCCTGCAGGGATCGGCAAGTCCGGCTGGGACCCTCTCCCTGATGTGGAGTGGTTGCTGAGGCTCTTGTTCCCCTTCCAACACCATCTTGAGTTGTGCATCCTCATCTGATGTTCCAGGGCGCAACCCTCGTGTACGATATCGTCGTGCGCCCCGTCATCATCGCGGCAGCGAGCAAGGCGAAGGAGCTGCCCGCCCTCACCCCCTTTGCCGAGAAGTTCCTGCTGTCAGAGGTACAGGCGGGCCAGGACAAGAAGACCAAGGCAACCAGCACCAAGAGCTCCTCGGCACTCAAGGTGCGTGTATCCATGCTGGTCATGGACCTCAGCGTCGAGAATTCCTTGCACCCTCGTGACCCGGGCAGAAATGGAGTGCTGTGCACATCACTGACGACCTG